TTAAACATAATAATTTTGATATGTACATGTTTTATGTTAGGCCTGTGTTGATTGGTCTTATTTAATAATATTACAGTTTATTGGCTTAATGTTTATAATATTAAAGTTTAATGGTTTACAATAATATAACAATTTAATGTTTTAATGGCATTGAAACCCTGTACCCCTACCTGTGGTCCTTGGCGGCCCCCTAGCCCCAATCATCAGTGCTCGCGCTTTGCTCGCAACCTGACCAGCAAACTGAAGAGGTGGGTTTCAATTCAAGATGGGCTTCTTCTCTAGATTAAGCCCATGGGTTTTAATTCGAGGTTTGAGTACGGTGCTTCCGGGGAGCCACACCTGAAGTGCTTCGCTATTCTCTCCATCCTTTATAGTCCTAAAGGCCTACGAAAACTAGGCCTTTCCTATTTGCCGTCTTATCCCGTCAAATTATCCGCAATCCAGACGGGGGGGGGGGGCAGGGGCCCCGTCGGGGAGAAAAAAAATATTATATGTATTTTTTACATATATAGTAGACTCTAAAATCGATTAAAAGCCTTTGAAACCCCTAAATTGTCGAAATTTTCTCGGGCTTCTCCCCCAGGACCACTTTCGGTACTTTTTTAATCGAAGCTCTACCACGCCCACTTTGCTTTCGTCGGGGAAATCTGACACCTCGTCGAGAGCCCCCCCCCCCGTCGGGCAAATCCTGGCGCCACCCCTGCGCAATCATCATTGTTTACATAGGCCTAACTGAACAATTAGGGATGGGGAGATACACTGAAATATCTCTTTCTGTTGCATCAGACAGCCACGTTCTCATCATTACGTAACTAAGAAATACTGTATGACGTAATTATAGCCTCTCTGTAGAACCACTCTGACGTTCGCTATTATTACAATAGTAAATAGCGCCCTCCTTACAGTAGAAGCTATTATTATTGACCAATCACAAACAGACACGGCAGCTTAGTGGCTGGAATGATCACTTAAGTAGTGGCGAAAACAGAACTGAAATATGTGATAATACAGTACAGAGCAAAACTGAGAACGAATTGGTAGTTTGTTTTGGGTTTTCGCCCGCTTTACCATTTTAAGGTAATTTTGGATTAGTTAACGACATTATGGCTGCCTCTAGAATACTACTTGCCCAGGTTTCCCAGCAACAATCACCTATTAAAATGGTAGTTACCACCAGCCCCACATCTTCGACACAGAAAAGGAGACTTGAAGCCGCAGCTGAGTCGGAAGAGAGGGCGGCTGAGCTCGCCAAGCGTCTGACTTTCGATCCATACCCTGAAGTCCAGTATACGAAACAAGGATTACCAAGAAAACGTCAAAGGCTGACACATCTTACAACAGAACAGAAATTAGCAAGAAGGTACGTACAGTTTAATGTTAAAAAATAATCCCCCCCCCAAAAAAAAAAAAAAAAAATTAATTGAAAATATGAATGAACATGGCATAGGCCTATCCATATGGTTAACTCTTGTCTTGGTCAACTCCCTTGCTTGGGACCAAACTTGACTGACGGGGCTGGCTTTACACATACATAGTAGTATATAAATAAATTAGTACAGACCTAGCCTAGGGGCCTAAGGTCTCTGGCTTACAGTAGTACTAGTACTATAGTCGGCTAGGACTCAGCTGGGGAGATGACCAATTTATTATACAGGTATCAATTATTTCACCATTTGAAATTTACAGACATAAAATTACAAAAAAAAAACCCCAAAAAATGATACCAAAACCTGGTAGGGTTGCTCAAAGGAGGCAACCATTCATTATTAAAGGCGCCACTTATTTTTTACAGAAAACTGAAGAACAGGGTGGCAGCTCAAACTGCACGAGATCGGAAGAAAGATTATGTAACGACGATAGAAGAAAAATTCAGTAATATATTACAAGAAAATCAAAGACTTTTAAAGGAAAATGAAACTCTAAAAGCACGATCTGATGTCTTGGAAAATGAAAACCAAGAACTGAAAGCCTGTCTTAAACTTTTCTTGAGCTCAAATAGCGTGGATAAGCAAAAGGTATATTATTGTTCATTAATTTGAAACAAATTCTGAACAATCAATTTAGTCAATCTATTAAATAATAAATCCATGAACCAATTAACTATTCATTCAATCCAATTAATTGGTCAAAAATTGTAAAGAATTTCCAAAATGAAAAGTATCTTCTCCTTAAATGTCTTTTAGGTTGTATCTGGTTTTATATGTTCAATAAAATATATGTACAATAGAATAATTTCCAAATTTCATGATCGTTTTTCAGTTGTTTTTTTTATATCGTAAAACAATATTGCATTTAAATGATTATTTATACATTTGTTTTATTTTTTGCAGGTTTTAGACTCCACCAGCGTGGTTGTAAAGGAAGAAGTTGGATCCCCTGAGTCTGCCGTACTCAACGCCCCTCTGCCGCAGGTGCAGATCCAGCAGCTTTCAATGTTGTTCACAACCATCCTGATGTGGAGGCGAGTCCAATACAATCTTTTAAATTAACAGTGATGAAAATTTTAAATGTCTAATAAATTAATATATATTAAAATATTAAATTGAGGATAAAATGATGTGCAGTATTTGATTCTCAAAATTTAAGGCTTACAAAGTATTTTTTTTTTTTCTAGTCTGATGTCCTTCTTCAACTTATCGAACAGCTCGATGCCGAGACCGCAACGACAAACACAGATTGTTTCGAAGCCAGAAAAAAGTCAACAGTTGACATTGCCAACACAGAATCCTCCAGTAGTTTGGTGGGGAGCACATCAAAAGACATGGAATCCATCAAAGAAATGATTTTGTCTGATCATGAGTACTCAAAGCCGCCTGCCTCTGTGATGTTAATCACTTCTTCAGACGAAAAATATTCGGAGACCGTACACACTGACATTCCAATGATAGTTGAACCGCTCTCTGTCACAACAAGCACAGACACAGAAAAGCTTGACATAAACGACATTCTGAATTGTGATCAGGTGGATGATGGCTTTACTGATGAACTCTCTGATCTTCTAGGACTTAATGGCAGCCAGTACAACCCTCTTTCACCTTGCCCATCATACTCTAGTGCAAGTGATTCCGGGGACTCAGCATTTGGGGAAGTTCCCAGTTCACCAATAAGCAGTGATGAAAGTATTCTTTGTGATGATTTTTGGGACGACTCCTTTTCAAATCTCTTCCCATTGCTAGAGAATTTATAAATTTGGATTAAAAATTGTATAAAAGGAATGAACTTTATCAGAACTGTACATAATATAAATAAAGTGGGCCTATTTGATTTCTAGAGAGTTTTGACATCAACATTCTGGTCACAAAAATTTAAAATGTGATCGTGTAAAAAGTGGCAGTTTTTTTCTGACTTTGGTCATTTTTGTCTTAAATTCTTATTTAACAGTTATACTTATATATATTTTACAGTAGTGATGTAATTTTCTTTGAGGTATATGGCATTAAAGGTAATAAAGTACTCAAATTTATTCTGTTCTCTTTTTAAATACATGCAGTTGCTTAACGACTTATAAGCCCTCACAAGGATTAAAGGATGTCTAGGGCCTCTGTGATATTAATCGGCTTTATTTGGCCAGGAACAAAGGATGTCAAGGGGCTCTGCAATATTAATCAGATTTTTTTTTGGCCAGGAACAAGGGCATAAGATCGGTTGAGCCCCTGATAGAGGGGAATGTGCACAATAACATCACAACACCAAAGCAGGTAGGATGGGGGGGCTTCACTCAGTGTCCAACAAGGGTTCCAACGTCCCCTGGCCCACCAGGCAAGTAGGGCCCGTAAAGGTCAGGGTCTCGGGTCCCTACTGATATGCTGATGAATATTGAACCAGCCAAATATTTATATTACACATTTACAATTGCTGTATATATAATTTATATATAATATAGTACAGTATTTCCCAACTTCAGTTTGTTTTAACATCTGTTGTTTTTAATGCATTTTTTGGCCACTATTTGGTTCAACAGAAGCCTGTACAGCCAAGCTTTTATAACAAGTTCTTTATTTACACCCTCCAAATAGTGATTCTATTAGATCAGAATCACTATACATACACATTATACTGTACTAAACCTTGTTCAAAAAAAAAAAATTCTTGAATTTGGTAAAATGCATCCAAAATTAAGGTAAATTGAGATCATTAGGGTGACAAATTTGATTTCATCTCTAGATGAAATCTGATGTTTTATTAATATAGTTGCTCTTATATTTGTGGATACTTCATTTTGCTAGATTAAATATGGTTGAAATACTCAGTCAAAATGCTTTCCGTCTGCCGTGCCAAAAATAGTAACATGAAGCAGGTTTGATATTCAGTCATCGTTGAGGGGGTAGTATTTTTTTTACAAGTACTGTAGTAAAAAGAGTCAACATTGAGGGGGTAATTTAATCCAAAAGCAGTGACATGTTTGCGCAGCAAGGCAAAATGTGTTATGTTGTCCATTAGCTAGTTCATAAATTTTACCTTGTCATATATATATTTTTATTTTATTTAAGCATCTTTTAAAATTTATAGCAAGATTTATGGTGTGACCAATATCATTACTTTATTCTCATTCAAATACTATTCATACATTCATTCATTATCTTACATTCAATATTCTTTAATTGTCTATACAAATCATTTCTATTTGCCAACTTTAAGTACCTGGTCAATAGGTAACATGATCACTTAGTAAACCCACATTCTATTCTTCTGTGCCTTGATAAAATATCAACATCCTGACCTTGCATTCTATTGTTAATAAGTGTGTAGCCATGTATGTCTGAAAGTAAAAGCTGTCAGTAATTTATATGCATCACTGGTCAACATATGGCACTCCTCATTAGCATATTCATTTAAATAATTTCACTGTTGATATTATACAAGTTCAACATTTAATTCTTTAATAATTGTACTTCAGTCTATGAACCTGTCCTTAAACTCATCTTGTTTTCTTAGAATTTAATCTTCATCAGAACTTGAATCGATTTCTTCAATATCAGGCATCGGAAATCTCAAAATGGCTGCCACTCCGCTCAGCAAATCCAATTCTATCAATAAAAACAAAACATATTTAAACTAATTAGTTTTTATACTTTATTCATTTTCAAGTCACATAGGCCAATGCCAGGCCCAAAGACAAACTAATTACTGTTGAAGCATTCCTTGCACATCATGTTTAACATACAACTAAGTCTCATAATGAAAATTAGGAGTGAAGTTTTTGATGATCATAAAATATTACGTCATTTGACTATGTATCTTAAACAGTATATATATTTATTATTTTATTCTTCTTTTATATGTTTGTACCTGTAATTTTTAAACGGAACAAAACATTTAACAAAAATGATGGCTTATTTCTGAAATAATAGGCTTCAGTTAATAAGAAATATTATGTGGTGAAAGGATTTACTTACGTTCACCAGACACATGCTGACTCGAAAATATACGGACATCTCCTCCACCCTCCCTTACTTCCTCAACAAGTGCAACATACCTCTTCCTTTGAGTGATATCTGTTGATCTAAAAGAATTAAAAAATATATACATTTTAAATTAAAATAATTCATTGTGTTATTATCTTTTCCTGTGATTGGAACTGCCTCCCTTTGTTAAAAAAAAAAAAAAAGGTAACCTGTTTCTTTCATCATTTTTTAAATTAGCTCAATAATAATACCTTATTCCACTTCCGATTTATAGACCCTTACTTCGAAAAATCTACAACTTGAATTGAACACTAGTAAATTAATATGACAGAATGTTGAATATGTTGCCCAGCTTACAGTAGAATTTAGCTCTACACCAGATAGTAGCATTATCAGCTATAGCACCCTCTGGAAGGTAAATACTTTTTATACAGTGCAACAGGCCTATAACAGGTTTCTTTAATGGGGTTGGGGGTTAGGGTAAGTCTAGAAGCATTTTAGTATGTAAATGGTCAATTTATTATTATTATTATTTGGTGAATCCTTCTGGAACAAACCTTTGGGCTTAAAGGGTTATCTCCTGCTTTCCATGTTTAAGTTATTTAAGGGTGGGGTGGGTTAATGGAAATTTTAGTATTTTTAATGTTTTTAATATGTTTACTTTTCTAACTTTGATCTCATATTTGTAATTTCATAGAAATATCATCAGTTTTATGGTTTTTGATGTAAGTGAAAGAGGTGGTTTGGTTTATCACAGGGGCTTCAGTACACTTTACGCAGTTCACTGCAGAATTATGCATGTTCGCTAAAAATTAGGTGGAGAAATGTTGGTGAATTGTATGATGCCTATCATTTTACATGCTGGGATATACATGTATGGAAATTTTGAATATTTTTTTACGCACCTTAAACATGTATTGGGGAGGGAGTGAAATAAACCTTTATACTATACTGTATATTATAGAATGACCGCCAACTGACCTGAAGAGTGTGTCGCTAACTAGTAATGTTTCTATTGCAGATGCCTCATTAGCCTTCTCGACATGCTTTATACTGAAAAATAAAAACAGATTAATAATTTAAAATCAGCATCAGTATGTCTACACAGTGAATTCAGAAATTTCGTCACTATTTTCATGAAGTAACACAAACAGGAAAATGCATTTGAAGTGACTACTTCACAAATACGTAAATTTCACTATCACGATAAAGAAATTTTGAATATTTTTTTACGCATGTTTAAAGATACAGCATTAAACAATTCAAATGTTCAATATATTTTTCTTTTTATAACTAGTGTAGTTGTACTCCTAAAAATTAGATGCAAAGGTAAAGTTTAATGTACATAATAAAAATGACAAAGAAAAAAAAAATTGAAAAAATATGATTTTTAAAGTTTGTGTCTCTTCGTGGTGTTGGTGACGATTTTAATGAAGATTGTAGAATCATTTGCCTATTATATTTCTTCATCTGTTTTAATCACATAAGATATATGGGAAAATATCTCATCAACAATGAAACACTTTTTTTTTTGTAAATATGCACTTGTTTCCATGAACCTACATTAGGTTCAAATGCCATTTTCTACAAATACACATCTTTTCAAATAACTGGTAGCTAATGTACAGTGCCTGAAGACATTACAAATATTTGCAATATAAAAGATGAACAATAGGCTATTATGTAGTTTTCAGTAAAATCAGATAACAACGTTAACAAAACAATACACCTTTATAAAGCAGGGACTCTCCACTGGCAACTTGCCATGTTATATCCATAACAAGCTAATAGCCAGGCTCCAGAGAAAAAAAAAAGATATCAACTGAAGACACAAAAGGGGTATATAAGAACTAGGGGGGGTGATTAAATATTAAATAATGTGTTTCACATCAAAATAAGGCTTTTAAAAAGCAAACATAAACAATAATAAGCTGCTATTATTAATATTATCACATCATTTTACAAAAGACCTAAGGCCTACATGTGGAAGTGGTCACACCTACCTCTAAACCCTAGATCATTGAACCTTCAATGTTAACTACAAACCTGGCCCCTGTTACATATATTTAAGAATCGGTCTCACTTTTTTTAATTGGTAACACATACCCGTACAATGCTCGATCTGGTTCCGAATTGAGCATAGTGTAGAATTGCCCCAGGGCTTTCACCTCCCCAGCAGCTTTAGTGTCAGCCAACTTTGTTGAAAGATCTGGGTCTGATAATACTTCTGTAAATAAATAGCAGATCAAATTCAACACAGACCAGTGACATGCTATTAGACACTTAAGCTATTACATAATAATAATAATAATAATAACTTACAATTTGCATAGCGCCTCCCATTAGACCAACCTCGAGGAGCTCAAGGTTGGTCTAACACACAAAATACAATATAAAGAAATAAATCAAGATGGTATTATATATAATACCTCCTTGAATACATACATTCTGAATATTTATATCTATAAGAATTTAAAATATGTGCAAATATAAATGTTTGTTTGTAGTATAGGAGCTGTACTAGATAGTACAAGAATAAAATAAACAATGCTTTTTGAAGACTAGTTCAAGCTCTGATTGGTTTCAAAAGAAGCAGGAAGTAAAAAATTATTACTGCCAACTCCTTAAGTTATACAACACTTAGTATTGTAGGTTATTGTAGGTTATAATAGACGCTATATAGTTCATTCTACTGTATCGTTTTTGGCACCAATGTTTGATTGCAAATGGTTTTATTTTATCCCACGTACCATTACTGTATTTACAAAAATGTAGGTTCCTGAAACATTCTTTATAGTCTTACGTTTAAATTCACACGAGGAAATACAAAATCTCCAAAGATCTAGTGTTAGTCTATACAGGTGCAGTAACACCAGTGTTAGAATAGGTCATACCAGTATGGAATGGAGGTCATACCTCTATGAATAGAATGCTGCAGGGGTGGATTTAGGAGGTGAAAAGGGAAAGAAAAAGAAATTATTGATCGCCAAAAACACCTCGGAGGTTATTTCTGGGTGTCTAGAAAACAAACAACTCCCGGACCCCCTTGGGGAGTGTTGTCTCTCGAGCGCCTCACTCCGTTTTAGGCATTTCTAGCTCTGTACCTGTGCTGAGCTGTGGTTACAAACATGTCATTCATCCAATATTGAGGCTTACCTTTCAGTGCATGTTTGTGACCAGAAGATGAATGTACCTGGATGAATTTGTGTCTGTTTTCTAGCAGTACCTTTAAGTCAAGCTTCACAGCTTGTTGGAAAAGATATTCACAGAACTGATCCTGAAAATTATAATGAAAACATTACATGTATTGTTTTTATTCAGAAATATATTATGGCAAATGCAAGGACAGTTTTCAGTTCAAACCCTGATGAAGACAATACTGACGATAATGATGATGTTGATACTGAAGATAATGATAATGATGATGATACTGAGGGTAAGATGATACTGAAGATAATGATGATACTGTGAATGATACTGAACATAATGAAGATGATTAAGAAGATTAAGATGATGATTAAGATAGTAATGACTAAGATAATGATTATGATGATGATATTATTATTATTATTATAGACAAGTTATGTTAACCATACTTTTCGTAAAAGCCTTACTTTTCGTAAAATAATTATATTTTTCTTTGTTTTTGTTTTTTTATTTAATTGTAATGGATTTACATTTTGTATAAATTCATTCAAATATTGTAAAAAAATCCAAAAACATTTCTTCTTGTTAACTGTAATTGTTAGATTGATAATTTTCATGAAATTTCATGGACCATTTGTTAGAACATAATTTTTATGAAAATGTTATCCATGTAAAATACTGTATGTTTGTAAATAAATAAATAAATAAAGTTATGTTCAGTAGTATCAAATTGACTGCAACGTTTAACTGTGTCTGCACATCACAATTTTGTTTGGTAAAGCTAGATACAGTAGGTGACTGGAAGTTTCAACTCGTAATCATGTGACTGAGGTTTTATACAAAAAAGATACTTTTAGAACTTCAGTTAGAAATGTTTCTTTAACATCTAGCAAGTACAAGGAAATATGTACCAAAACAACCCAAAAATCAATAGAAACTTTCAAATTTTCAATTTTTTATTTACTTTAATCAGGAAGAGTTTTGGTAAATTTTTATTGAAGAATGAAAGTAAAAATAAAAAGGAAACAATCTAAGACACGCAAGTTCTCAATTGTGTTTTGATATAAGGTATGATAGTATAATACATACTCCAAGTATCGAAATGCACGCCATCGTGTCGGGATTCAATATTTTGACATTAATTGTGTCATCATCAGGAATGATGATGTACATTGTATAGTGAAAGTGATTGGCGCAGCAGTTGCATTTCGGTCTCTCAACCTTGTAGTCGGGGTTCAAACCTTTGTTGTGCTTTTTGCTTGTGTTCTTGGACAAGGCGCTTTATCTAAGCTTGTCTTTCTTCACCCAAGAGTATAAATGTGTACCCAGTGCTTCTCTACTGGGGCAGGAAAAAAAGGCGGCGTGGAAAGGTACTGGCCACCATACCACAGAATGCCGAGGCTTAGTACGATGGGTTACAGCTCACTCCACTACATTCAGTAATTAATAAGGGACTACCTTTACCTTACCTTATAATGTACTTTAGAACTTACTTTCACAAATCCAGGACTTGCTACGATTACACATTTCACAACTGGTGAATGAAAAGAACAAAATATTAATTAGAATATCATCTTGTTGCACAAAGAATTTCAGAAATGAAATAGACACTATTTGGCCATTGCAAAGATTGTGTGCTTACTTTTAGTTTCTAATATAACATTCATGTAATAGTAATATGGAAACAATTGGTGAAGTGGTTGCAATTCAGGCTCTCAAGGCACTTTAACTACAGTTCTATCTTCTACCCAGGATATTAAGTGGGTACCACCTGGTAGAATCAAACACCAATTCACTGATTACTAGCAGCAATATTATGGAATGTTTCCCTAGAGAGCTGAGTATACGACCCATAGATGTCCATTGTCTAGTATAACTTATGCGCAATGTAAAACATGGTTTGGTGTATTAATAATAAAAATTGTCAAAACCACAAAACATTACAATTTAATCCAAGATTAGACTAAGATTAATTAAAATACAGTACAAAAAAGTCACCAAGGCAGGGGTAAAACATCTAGGTACATTAGAAATGCTCTGTTTCATGCCTATTAATTTCTTTACCTTACTTTGGTCTCCAATTTTTCAAAACATCCTGATATTATTTTTACTCCTACTTTGTGCATTCTATATTTACACATAATTGTGTAAATATACTGTTAACAATAACAACAAGGGATGCAGCAAGTAGGGGTCAAGTGGGTCCTGACCCCCATCAAAATAAAAATATCCCAATTATAGTAGTAAGTGATCGGTAATGTAAAAAAATTGCCACAAGTCCCTTAATATTATTTATTTCTCATTCTAGACAGACCACTAACAAGCAAGTTAATTTTGAGACAGAACCTAATCGCCAGGGCCACCACAGGGGTCCGAGGGGTGGAACCCCGATGACGGACGGGTTTGAGTCACATAATCAACGGTTGGTTGTGACGATGAAAGCACAAGAGCGCACCCACATCCTAGATTCTACTAAGTGCGTGGTTGGCCGAGTTATTTTGGTCAAAAAATAGAATTATTCTCTGTGAATTGATCCTCGACCGAGATAACAAAAGCTCTATAATGACTCAAGTTACTGCAAGACCGTGTATATTTTTAATAAAACCAATTTCTTCCATTTTTAAAAACATTTTTTCCTGAATCCGTAATGCTTCGTTACCACGCATAGACTTGTGCTAAATGCGTGACAAATTTTTGATCACGCATGTGTTTTTGCAAAATGCGTGTTTCATTCAAAATCACTTTGAAATTTTGGACCGTCCCGCATGATGCGAAACGGTTAGTAACTATACTTTTTTGAGTGATCGCCTTCTCATTAATACCTCCATGGTATAACCAGGGAGGTATAAAAATAATTTGTATACCTTCCTGGTATAATATAGTTTAACCTCCCTGTAGTGACCACCTCCTGTCAGTGATCACCTCCCTTAACGTCCACTCTCATATACAGCAATCCCATTTGTTCTACCTATTTAATTACTGCACTTGATACCTTTCGTAATCCACCACCTCCTGACTATTTCACTTTTGGATTTTTCTTATTTTTTACCTCCTGTAAGTGACCACCATAAAAGTTTGTAATATCTTTCTATCTATCCAAATACAATCAGCTTACCAGTAGACCCAAAAATTAGACGGGACGATGGGGCACCGTTAGCTGCGTCAAACTAATATTATAAGTTTAAGCAACACTATGTAAGGAAATTATTTAAAAGCGATAAGATAAATTGACCTAAAAATAGGCCTTCATTGGAGGCTCAGTAAAAAATCATAACCCTTTGTTGATAGAACCTGGGAAGAGTGAAATCTCACACCAAATTTATTTTCTTTCTGAACACTGCGTTCAGGCTGAGGCTGATTTTTTAAAAACTACAGTGGTAAAACCTGATCATATATCACCCAACCTAGATGCTTGCAAGGCTTGACTGGCCCAAATTTTACCCTGGCTGTGCCTCTAAACAACTATATAACCCCTACTAATTCAACCAAAGTCACCCCTCCTATTTAACTACAATTGCAAATCCTACAACATGTGACAAAGCATTGATTGTAAAGTAGATCAAACCCAACTGAAGCTATTGTTATGATAAGCCTACAGATGTGTTAATATCAAAATGTACTTGAAATGCATAGTTATGTGATCAATACTTTTGAAAGTACTGTATTGTATCATCAGATAAATTAAACAATGCTTGGTTTTTAACCATTGATGTGTCATGTTATTTTAAGCCTACAATAAATTATTGCCAAATATATATAGTACTTCTAAATTACACACTCAAAGCCCAGCCACAAATAGAGTATGATGTAATTCACAGTACTATAATGGAATTACAGTACAACCCCTACTTTGGGAAACTTTTCCATGAAAAGAAAGAATATATTTTAACACTCTACAGTCAACCCCCTATTAAGCGAACACACCTATTAGGGGAGGACACTTTCTGAGTGTACCAGATGATCAAATTAATACACTTTCAACCCCTATTAAGGGGACACTTTTGTATCGTATCATAACACTATTTTTTTTTATTGTATCACTAAAACCACTATAGATTGAAAATAAATATTTCCATCAATTTAATATTTTGAACTATAAACTAAACATTTTTTTTCTTGACCCTTAAAATGGATATTGGTATAGGCCCAGTGTGTGTGTGTTACTTTGTATAAACTAATTAGGGGATTTATTATTTTTTCTGCTCACTTTCATAAGATTTGACCATGGACCTATTAATAGGTCCATGATTTGACTCCTAATCATGCGATTTATTTATTTTTTTCTTGTGCACTTTCATATAGGATTCAAATCCATACAGTAACCTTACACTGATTTCTAAGTTGTTACTATATTCATTCTTTTGCATCTGTCATAGTACAGGTATCCGGAACAATATACAATTTTGTTATTTTAATTATATTTATTTTCATTTCATCATAAATGTATTGTACTGTACAGTACTTGCATTGAAAATTATTTTTACAATTTAGTTTAATTTATATTCTTAGGTCAACTGAAATAAAATGATAAAGAATCTTATGTCCTCATTATATTGTCAGAACCTCTATTAGTGTTCCCTTAAGGGTTCTACTGCATTATGTACTGTACTATATTGTATCAACATATAAATAAGAGAATGCTTGGCTTTTAACCAAAGGAGTGGCATATTATTTTAGGCCTACATTCACTTCTTGCAAAATAAAAATAAATTTATGCAATATTTATACAATAACAAACTCAAAGTCCAGCCATAAATAGAGTATGAAATAATAGTCATATTAAACAAGGTTTGATTGTATTTTAAAACTTTTTGTTGGAAACAAATGGTCCATGTTAAAACTTCATGCATGATTCATATTTCACACATATTCCTGCATTGGCTATCCTTGTCTTTAATTGTTTTGCAAATGTCATATTTACATACTATATTACGTACGATGGATACCAAATAGATATCCGTCTGGACTGGAGGTTCCCAGTCATGCATTTAGATTTGCTGCGGTGTGACTCACTACAATTGAACCACCAGTTTAAAAAGCTGAAGTGCAAAGGAGTCCTCATTAGTTTTAATGATTTTATAAATCTTGAGGTATCAGCAAACATAAGGCATCTGGAATTTTGAAGAGATTAAGTACGTCGCTAATGAAAATATTAAACAGAAAGGGGAGGCAAAGATGGAACCTTGGGGTACACCAGATACAACTGGGAGGGGACTGGATGTGGTACCTTCAAACACTACTTTTAATAGTACACTATTAGAGCACCATCTGGTTAATTTTAACATTTTTTATTTATTTCAACAATATTCTACAGTGAAAAAGGTTGCCCATAATAGGATTGTGACATAAATATTTTAAAAAATATAACAAATTCTTAATCTAAAAATCTAAGAGGAAAAACAATAACTGGCACGTTCTGTGCTCACAACTGGATGTGAAAAAATATTACAAAAAAGGTTACATTATTTGCACAATAAACATGAAAAATGTTCTAAAACTAACTTTCAAAGTTTATATGCCTCTGAATGGCCTGTAAAACTGAATCATAAAACTTGAGAAGCGCCTTGTCGTGTTGCTGGCAGAATCCTTTGCGTTTACGAGGAATATTCTGTTCAAGTTTGGCACGGATGACGGTCATGCTGGATGTAACCAGGCACACGTGTGCAAGACCTTCTTGCAAGATCACTGCTGCTACATCTGCTGACTGTGCTATATCACAAGCCATCTCTGCATTTGATTAAGATAGTTAAAGATAATAAAGTGTGTAATACAGTATATTATGCAATTATAGACAAGTTCTGAGGACCCTAGAAAATAGAGGCCGAAGGAGCTATAATTTTCTGAAAAAAATGCTTGAAGCCTGCAGGGCTGAAGGAAATGTTTTAATCTATAAGGCTTGTATTTCTATATGGTCCAAAATAAATTAACAATAATAATGCTATATGTTAGTCACCAGTTTTATGTAATATATTATTATTGTATTTTATAATCAAACTGCTGGTTGCGGTGACCAGTTGCTCAGTGATCAATATATTAACAGCGTGTGTGCATTGTGGTTGATTAGGTAGGTTTAACCTCCTTATGTGATAAATCCAGGTTAGGCCTACTAATAGTGCTGAGTGGCATAAGTTGTAAGTTTTAGAAATGGCACATTTTCATAATTTGTCGCTACCATATGTAAACTAGTCATGCACCTTTCTAGGAACTACTATTGCTGTTCTCTTATCAACTGTAATATTTGTATTCCTGAATAAACTTTTAAACAAAAAATTATTTTGAAATGAATCTTAATGACATTCTGGTATAAGACATTTTACAAAATCTACAAAAAAAAAACTTTAGTTAAAGTGTTCTTATCCACTTGTTTTTATTTCCCTTGACATTTCAAAATTTACTCACTAACCAATTCTTTCTAGTGCTATGATATCCCAGCATACTTTAGCCAGTGTGAACTTTCTGTTGAGCTCCAAGTCCAGTGTATGGTATGCTCCCATCTGCAATTCAAAATAAGTTTCTCATTCAAAAACCAAACTATGTTAGATTTTGATCTTGTTAAAAAGGAACAACATTTGCGTACATGATATATACTGATTGCTAAGAAAAAAAATTAATACATTTTTATTTGTTTATGTTTCTTTGTAGGTCAGGGGCTGTAGACTTCTTGGTATTCAAGAAGTGCCTTATGGCGAGTTGATTGGCCGAGTGGTTAAGTCAGGGGCACCGTAACCTTCAGCTCTAATATCGGCGCTGGTTCGAACGGCTCACTCGCCAATGGCTCCGGTGGTGGAACACGTCTTCTCGGAAAAGGACTTTAAACCGTAGGCCCAGTGTACGCATTTGGCTCGTGTGCACTTTAAAGAACCCAGTACATCCTTCGAAAAGAGTAAGGGGTTACCCCGGTGTACTGGTCCATTAAGTCCCCTGGTGTTAAATGGATATGCCATGTTGGACAGTGATTAAGTTCACTTTTTGGCATATCCTTGGCAGTGGCGTATCTAGCAGTATTAAAATGGGGGGACTGGTGGGGTGCGCGACCAAAATATGAGGGGGCGTGGAATTTATTTTCGGTGGCCACGCCCACTGAAAAATATTGCTTCTTAGATTCCCGAATACACGTTAACCGTTACAGCATAAGCATAATCATAAGCCTAGCCTAATTTTTTTTGCTTCAAAGTTTTCGAATGGGGGAGCGGGGGGGGGGGCCGCAAGCTTTTTGTGGGGGCGTGCGCCCCCCACGCTCCCCCTTGGATACGCCACTGATCCTTGGTGCTCGTGCCTAAAGAAATGAAATGAAATGTACCTTAACATACTGGTTCTCTTGTATATTTCTACCTTTGACCCTTAACATACACCCCTGTGTGTCAAAGTCTATATCCTCAATTGAGATGGTCAGCGTGGTGCGTACACGGCTACTGCTACTACTTCCTGTTGACGATTCTGTTGTGACCTTTCGCACCGTTGTTGACCTAAGGCTGTCACCAACGCTGATTAGATTATATGCATGCCACATGTCTTCTGCTTCAACTGGTATTAAGGTAACTTGACTGAAAATACAAAAATAGTGGGCCTTAATATATAACTGAACAGCATGGAAACAGAAAGAATAGTTTGACATGAAATACAGGTTGCAGTCTAACCTTCAAAGTCAGAGTGTATCTACATAGCGTATATGTTGTAGGACCAATGTTTTCTATCTTCATTAATTTACCAGATATGGTTTAGTCTAATCCATTTGTGGATGATACAAATGATAAGGAAAATAAGAAAGGAAAAGGAAAGGAAAAGATAAGGTAACATCAGAATGAATAATGAAGGAAAGTTATGTGAACATAAGAAAAGGAAAGGAAATGGGGATTGGGAAATACAGGCAAGGGCTGTGAGGAAAGGATAGACATGACAAGCCAATCACATAAGAAAAATTTAAACTGTGAAATAGTTGAATGTATAAGAAATCAATAATAAATTGGAAAGTAACCAAATGGAATGAGAAGGTAATTGAAAGAAAAAATAAAATAAATAAATAAATAAATAAAAAATAAATAAATTAATTAATTAATAAATAAAATAAATTAAAATAAATAAATAAATATTCATTCATAATGTTAACCTATTTCCCTCACTGTTGTAATCATTTTTCTTTTATTTTGATCAGGTTTTTCCTTTCATTGTAAAGAATTTATTATTATTATTATTAATGATGTTAAAGATACAGATACAGATACACACTTATTATAGATACAGATGCTCATTTATTTCTAAAGAAGGACATTAATAGAGTTTAATCTTGGTCCTACCACATGTTTGGCAGTTACCTTTTCATAAGTGGAAAAATGCAAATATTACATTGCCATGGCTGTGGATAATTTTTGTTAAATGATAATTTATTGTAAATGGATGTTAAATGAAGCTGATCATGAATGAAAAGGAGTCGGATGTTACTTCCTACTCATGTTTGATGTTTAATTTGCAACGTGACCAATAATGATATATCCTAGGCTAGGCCTACAGTTTTATAAGACTAAAGTGAAGACCAGTTTTACACTTAAATACATGATGTAATACATTTGTCTCGGCCTCTCTTGTTCTTCTTTTACTCTCCCATCTTTATGAGCTCTTTCAATCTGCGGCTCATCTATCTCAAAGTATTTCTTCAACATGGCTTTAACATTCTCTAACGTTCCCACTAGTATTCATTTTTCTTTTCTAAAATTCTACCATTCCAATAATTCAAAAGTTGTTCCTACGGGAAAAGCTTGTTTTCTGCTTCCTGGATTCTTTTAAATTGAGTTTCTTGGTTATTTGATTTTCGCTAAAGTTCGCATATTTTTTCTTCCAAAGGTTTAGCTCGGTTTTCAAGAACATTAACACAATGAGCCTGGAATTCCAATGCAATTTCAAAGTTAGAAAGCTTACTTTTAATGTTGTTAATTCCATCAACAACAAACTTCTGGAATGTGTCACCTGTGTCAACAAGAGACGAAGTAGTAGGCTCGCTTTATTTGTTGCTTGTATCAAAGAAATCCGGCGTCTGTGGCTTATCTAGCCGCGTTGTTAATGTTAAGCGTGTATTTCGTCCGCTAATTGACAATGACATACTAGATTTTTTACGCTGTTACTTCTCTCAAGTTCTAAGAATTAACCTTCAAGAAACTGAGTAGGCAGAATCAATGATGTTATTACCTCAAATATTCTATAAAAAAACTAATAATGATGGTCCAAATATATCACTAACAATTAAAATGTTCAGAGCTTTCCAAGCTTGTGTTGCACTAAACAGCCATCGTTCGTTATTGAAATGAACTGCATAAATGTACACTATTGACTTCTTCCTGACGAAAGCTATTCTCCCCTCTCTTGGCCACCCCTATCCTCATGGGCGTCGCAAAGGTCGATCAAGGATCGTATAGTATATTCTATAATTTGGAGTTGCAAAGCAAATTATGATTATGACACCTCTAGATGCCCGGAAATTGCACTCATTCAGCTTTTTAAATATTTTATCTCCATTGTTTGTTTGCTTTTTAAATATTTTATCTCCATTGTTTGTTTGACAATACTTTCATGTTATTACAGAGTTGGTTATTAAAGGCTTTTCAGGGTTATTATCGACATTGTTTATTCTTAGCCATTCCGACCCTCTTATTGTTATTTATCTAAGCCTGGTTCTCACGAGATCCCTAGTATCCAGATCGGGAGCTAACCGTTAGCGCTAACCTTTAGCACCTGCGTGAGAACGCCTGATCGATTAGCGCTAACGGTTAGCAAGCGCAATCGGTTAGCAAGTTGAGGGCGTTTCTATCATCAACCAATCACATGTACGCGTTTACAATTTCCAGTTTCTTATTGGCCAGTTATTCGATCATCATATTGTTGGTATCCGGATAGGGATTTTCTCGCATGGACGCACGGCAGCTAACGGTTAGCAGGATCCGGATCTGCTAACCGTTAGCTGCCGTGTGAGAACATAGCCCTAGTGTCAGTCGTAGTGGTAATAATAAGTAAATGAACAAATTTTATTACTCACCTACTGCAGTACTCAGGATATTTCGGCTCCATTTCCCAGAGCCCTGTTTACCTCTCAAGCCAGAGAGGTGAACAGGGCTCCGGACACACGGCACGGACGATAATTATTGAATGTATTAAAGATATACCAATACTAAAAAACAAACATGAATAGGCCTAGGCCTAATAGGAATTATTGTTCTACAGATTCATCTAAAGAAATGCCTAGGCCTCCCAAGGGCCTAGGTTAGGCTAGGCCCTCGGCATGTTACCTTAAAGTAGTACTTTACATTGAAACCCATCTTTCAGGCTTCTATTTGGCAAACTAACGAAATAAACCTCGCAAGACAAAGTATGTAGGCAAATAGATTATTTTATTTTATAACACTTTTCAATTTACTGTACAAGATAAGATTCCTGAACGTGGTTTTTCTTTTCATGAAATAAAAATCATCATCCAATGACAACTTTGCATTTCTATGTACATGTACTGTACATACACATTACAAATGTAGTATAATTTTTCCAAGAAGAGTAATACTAACAAATATTATTACTTTTACATTATTAAATACCGTATTAATTGTCCGTTGATAAGTTGAAATTTACAAGAATAAGAAAGGCCTTCTTTTGAAAGACACATTATTATGCTATTAAAACTGCCTTACGATGTATTTATATGAAAAACAGACACGTTAAAAAAAAAAAATTCAGACCTAAGGAGTAGGCCAGGCCTACTGTACATTGAAACACATCTTTCAGGCTTTTATTTGGCAACTCAAGAAATAAGTCTCACAAGACAAAAGTATATAGGCAAATTATATAGGACTCTGAGGTCCCCGACCAGGGGGGTGGGGGGATGTTGACAATTTAGGGGTTTCAAAGGCTTGTTTAATCGATTTTAGTGTCTACTATAGAAAATAGCATATAATTTGTTTTTCTCCCTGACGAATTGTGGTTTTTTTCCCCTGACGGTGGGGGGGGGGGGAGAGCCCCTGGCCCCCGCAGGCGCCACCCCTGAATGCTAAACTTCGGTTCGATTAACCTTGATTATGACATGAAAGTTCAAAAAGATGGTACCACATAATCATGCCACATTTTGTTGACAGATGTTTCATGGGAAAATTCAGAATCAAATTATAAGACGGACCTTAATTGTTTCAAAATTTAAGAATTGACTCGGACATTTTGGCAATTTCTTATTGATTGCAAAGCTGAGCAAAATAGTGCGTACAGCTCGTCGTGCTAGCAAGCGCGGAAACGCTGTATCAACCTCTATAAATTTATAAAGGTATCTTTTTTGTTGAAATATGTACTTTGTGAGTGGTTGAATCATGTAAAAATGTTTTATAAATATGTGTTGTGACTGTGTGAGAAGAACATTGAGGTAAAAAAATTAAGAATAAAAAATTAGGTGCGAATAAAAAATTAGGTGGCACAATCTCCTTGCACAGATTGCAAACTGTGCAGAAACATGCACAGTTTTCAAGTTGTGCAAAGAAATCCTTGCAGTTTGCAAATTGTGCAAGTACATGCTTGCAGATTTTGCAAATTGTGCAAACGTCTCAAATTGTGCACGACAACAATACTCAACAATAGTCTAGCCTAGGCCCGGCCCTATTTTCCACCATTGCCCTAGGCCTCCGGCCTACAACAGTCCAACTCACCCTGATCCATCTTTTTCCACCTCCTTACTAACGAGTTTCATTTTTGTGGTAGGCCTAGCAGTATCGTATGAATAGGAGCAAGGGGCAGGAGAGTCTAGACAAACAATTCGGCCTAGGCCTACGCCTACATTCTGAGGCCCATTCTGATACGGGTATTCATTTCGGTCGTTCGTTCGTCGCGCTTTAGCTACGGTATATGCAGCGCCGAAGGTGCCACCTCGAATCTACTACACGGTAGCAAATACCGTTTGTCGAACAAATTCAACACTAGTTTGTTAATGATAATAAGAATTAGTTTTAGTATTATTTCATTAATAAATACAGTTCATTACAGTATTAATCGGTTTTGCTGCAGTATTTTTCTTTTTACAGAAACAACGCAAATGATTTTTACTAATACCTTTACGACAAAGATTTGTAAGATATATTTCATATTATTTCTTTTATTTATTCCACTAATTACAATAGGTACAATACAACCAAACAAGCAAGGACTTTCCTCATTGAGAGTCAGCCCATTAATAAATATTAATACTGTATAAACAAACCCTAAGATAGAATATAGTATAAATGGCCCTTAGATCTTAATTCTAAATTTCAAAATTACCGTAAGTACACGTAATCATATTTAAAAAAAAAATTTATATAGGCCGATATCACTGTCGCTGAGATTCTTCTTATCTCCCAATTTTGTTTAAACGGGCAAAATCGTCATTAGACCAACGTAAATGGTCACAATATAAAACATGTCGAAACAATTTGAAATCATGTATAAGAAAATCATACCATTGTTATGTTAGAAACTTCTGTAAGGTGTAATGACAACGGCAAAGCATTTTGGTCTTTCGTCCGCAGTTCAAGAGCTAAATAAACTGCTCAAAACTTCAAAATAAACAACTCATTGGTTGAAGATCCTGTTTTAATTTCCAAAACTTTTAATGATTATTTCAATTCAAATTTTACAAATGATTCTTCAACTACATTATCTGATGTACAAATTGATTTTTGCAAGAATCACAATGGCCTCCTTCCACTCTGTAACATTCAGACCACGCCAACGGAAGTCCTTCAACTCATCAACAAATTGAAAACTGGTAAGGCACCAGCCCAAATGGTGTTACATCCACAATGCTCAAAATTTCAGCTATATATATTTGTGAGCCTTTGGCCAAAATATTTAACTTGTCTCTCCAACTGGGTGTTTTCCCCTCAGAGTGGAAGCTGGCCAGCGTTATTCCAATACATAAGAATGGTGTAATTAATGAAATCACTAACTATAGACCAGTGTCTTTGTGTTCAATTGTAAGTAAACTGTTAGAAAGAGTTGTCAGTAATCACTTAATAGACCATTTAAAATGTCACCATCTTATGTCACCGTTTCAACATGGTTTTGTAACAGGAAGATCTAGCCAATCAATTCTCGCCACAGCTCATCATCATTGGGCACAGGTATTGGATGAACGCAACCCTCCTCCAATCGATGTTATTTTTTTAGATTGGAACAAAGCATTTGATAGAATAAGTCACAAAATTTTACTTAATAAGCTACATCATTACGGAATCTGTGGGCCTATTTTGCAGTGGTTTGTATCATACTTAGATGGCAGATCTCAAAAAGTTGTCTTTCGAGGAGCATCTTCCAATACCTGTAACGTGCAATCTGGTGTTCCTCAGGGACTGTCTCTTATACACATCTAGATGTGTATAAGAGACAGGTTCAATGGCACCGCCAAAAAACTAACGCTTACATAATCATTTTGCCGACATCTTATCATGGTTTAATTGTAATTAGTTCGCCCATTAACTTGTCACTGAACTTTTTGTGGTCCAATCAACTAATTGTATTGTTAACTTGATTCTGATTGGTTAATACCATTTATTATTCTTTATGTATGTGTAAGATCTACCAAGTTTTCTCACTTTAACGCTGATAAAGATAGCAGGAGCTATCGAAATATCCATTTGATTTTGTTATACCTTAATAAATTTGTGTTCCGCAGTCAACTTTCAATGATTGTACACCGTTTTCTCATTGCTTTTGCATTTTATTTCACTTGGAGCATATATGCAAACCCACTCTTCAATATATATATATATATATATATAT